TCCTAGACAGTTTTCTTAAGGGGTTCAAAGTCTAAATAAAAATATAAACAAAGAGTTTCTTTTCCTTTTTTTTTTCAACTGATAATGGAATAGGAAGAACTTGAGTGTCTATGTTTTTGACATGGTATATCAGAGGTGGAGCATTTGTGCTGAGTACCTTCTTCTTGATTATTGTGACTATATGCCTTGAGAATATGTGTGACTTCCTTTTGACGCTTGGGCTCGTTTATTGACTCCTCTTGTTACTTCCTAGTGTTTGGATTATATGATGACTGTGCTAGTTGCTTTAACTTGAGAGCCAGGTCTAAGCCGTCCTGAGTAAGTCATGTGCATTGTGTGAGGTGAGATTTTGGTTGTACTCTATGCCATCCCTTATTAGTCTAGAACTTGCCCCGTGTGTGAGTCGAAGCGAAAAATTTAAGTCTTGTGAGTTTACATAGGCGTTTCTTTGATTGACCCTTGAGCCTATTTTCCTACCATTGATAACATTATCCGCAGTCAGCCCTATTGAGCATGTAGACCTTTTTCTTTGGCACCCACATTACGAGCCAACCCCTATTTTGTTCTAAATCATATCTTGTTCACCATTTACCTCCGAAAGTACTTAAGTCGCTGAAAGAGTAAAGAAAGAGATTGAGTAGCTTTTGAGTGAAACCACAGAAAGTTTGACAAGGTGCATTTGTGGGTAAAAGCCTTACTAGCCGGAAATACCAAATTAAGGAGAGGTAAAAAAAATACAAAAAAAATATAATGATGAATGACACCTCTCATATCTTTGTTTGGGCTAGTGAGTATCTATATCTTAATGTGATTAATGAAGAAGGGATTAATTGTGTATGGTTTCATGGCAAAATAATTAATTGGTCATGACAAGAATGTGCTTGAAAGTGTGGTGTATTAAAGTGATTAGGAGGGTTAGTCACTATATATATATATATATATATATATATATATATATATATATATATATATATATATATATATATATATATATATATATATATATATATATATATATAATACCCGTCTCTTAGCCTACATTACAACCTATAATGTCCTACTTGATCCTAGATTTTACAAGCTTAAATTAGTCGAGTCTTACACTATGGGTAAGCCTATGGTACGAACTTTGGAGGTACATGAGTTTCTTTGCAAGAGTGAGCGAATTCTTTCAATATGTGAGTCCTTTAATTATACTTGAATTCATATTTGAGTGTGCGGACTGATTATTCTCTTTGCGTTGTTGGTGAAGGCACATGCTTTACGTCGGATTGGTAAAGAACTCATATCTTTAGTTGGCACAAGAAGCGAGTCATATAGAGAAATGTAGTGGAGTCAATTTTTGAGGCTAGGATGTTGGAAGAGTCACACAAATATTTTAATTAGTCTTGGCATCGGTCTAATAATAAGAAAAAGTGTGAAGAGTGCATATGTCCGATTCTAAGAGTTGGTATAAACCATTTTCATTGATACGATGCTTAAGTATGTTTTGAAAATGTGTTACTTGCCGATGTGATTAATTTTAAGTTGCTCGAGGACGAGCAAGAGTTTAAGTGTGGGGTAGTGATAAATGATGAAAAATGCATGTTTTTGAGTATGTTTGCATATTATTTCTTATGTGAGCTGCGGGAGATTACATGTTTATAAACATATAATATGCTCATTTCATGTTTATTGTGTGTAGGAATGAATTTGGATGGAAGTTGGCGAGAATTGGATGATTTGATGCAAAAAGAGTAGAGATGCAAGACCTGGAAGCGTGCCACAATTTGTGCACTGCATGAAAGTAGGAGCGAAATGGCCTAGGAGATGAACAAAAAACAGCGAAGTATGGAGGTTGGCACTAGACCTTGGCACGCGAAAGAACAAAGAAGAAAAAAAGAAATAGCTGGGAGCGTGCCAGAAGTCGGCGTTGCACCAACTCTGGCACACGACTCAGCATGTCCTTTTTGAATTAGGAGAGCTCAAAGACGCCCCACATCAACCCTAATTGATATAAATACATCTTAAAACGTCCTTTTAAGGGGGGAGACACTACTTTAGGGTTAGACAACACCCAAAGAGGCAATAATACGCTGAGCAAGAAGGAAGATTCAACCACGAGTTTTTCCTTTCTTCTTCCTTTCTTTCATTGTTGGTTATGACTTTTAGTATTGTAATTTTACATACTATTATGAGTAGCTAATTTATTATCTAGAGTTTTGATGAAACCTCTTGGAGGATGAATTCCTGTTATATTTTAATATAATTTAACCTTTGGATTTATCTACTTGTTCAACTATGTGCTTATTTCAATTGATTGAATGGCCATCGATTGACTATGCCTATTTAGTATGTGTTGCTTGAGAAAGGATATATATTTAGGTGGTTGTTGAACAACGTCACTCCTAAGGTATATGAGAGATCAATACGGCATGTTTAATAGCAAGATTAGAGATAATGAAGCTTTGACGTGATCATAGTGAGCGGTGAAAAAGTGCGAGCTAGCGTAATTCGAGAGAATATGACTATTACATTATTGTAGTTGCTCGAGAGAGAATTATGATAAGTCGAGTGTTCATGATCAGTAGAGAATACTTATGCGAAATTATAGGAGACGTAGTAGGAAGGATTCCGACAATTGGAAAAATCATAACTCTAGGCCTCCTTAATCTTGTCTCCAACCCTTAGTATCTTTAGTTGCTATTACTATTTTAATTTGTTAGTTAATTAGTTAAATATAAGAATCTTAATCTTTATAACTTAGGAATTTATTCAAGCTTGTCTTCTTAGGATATTAAACAGTTATAGCGAAACCTTAGTTCTCTGTGGGATTCGACTCCAAACTTTTAGATCGGATTATATTTGCAGCGACCGCTTATCCTTTTTAGGATTAGAGTTGGGCGTGACTAGCATGCATGACCCTGATGATTTGCTAGACATGGAGTTGATTCTTCTTAATCCAGTTAGGGCGTTTATAAAAAAAAAATATAGGTAAGGGTAGTCCAACTTCATTTACCTATTCTTCCAAACAAGCAACCAAGTTTCATTTCCTAACATTTTTCACATCGCGAAAGCTTAATAAACTAAAATCCCATGCATCCTCCTTATTCATCCGCGCACCATTCTGTTTTATCTTTTATTATTGAGAAAAAAAATTATAAAGGAATCCTTGAGGATATTTCTATATGTTAATATCCCTTGTAGTTGGATATACTTTGTTGAATCCCTCATTTTTATTCTATTCTTGTAATTGGTGCCATTGTAGGCCTATGTTTAGAGATGGTAAAACTTAGAAAATTTTACCTCCGATAGTAAAGGTATACACCCTATTTATTATAAATCAAAATCATTTTAAAATATTGTTTTCTACAGCTGTCTTTTATATTTTATAACAAAATAAGTATTTGTGGTATATACTACCATTGAGGCATGAAATACCCTATTTATGTTTTCCCTCTCTCTTTCTTTCAATTAACACACGATTCTCTCTCAGAATTTTTCTTCTTTCTCTCTCTCTTCGAGCAACGAAAGAGAAACAAATCATGAAAGAAAACCTAAAAATCTCAAAATCAGAAACATGAAAGTAAACCTATAATAAAAAAAAGGAAGCGGAAATACCTTGGGCGGAGAGATTGAAGAGAAAGAGGGATTCTTAGCGCGGTAAGTAAGAGAGAAAAGAGGAAGAAGCGGTCGAATTAGAAGTGTTGTAAATGTAATGGAAGAGGTAGTGAAGCGATATAAAGAGTCTTGGCCGGAAAACGCCATCTCCGACGAACTTTCTTCTCTTCTTTGCTATTTAGTCACATACAATGATACAAATACATTATATTTTGTACAAATTTACTCAAACATATTGTATTTTTGTATAAATAAATTTTTTTCCATGTGTTTATGTATTTTGAAGGTCTGTATTTTTTTAATACAACTGAATACGCCTGTATTCATGCATACTGTATATAAACATTGAAATACATAGAATACAAACATTAAAATAGAACAGAATATAAACAATGAATACATTTAATTTTAAAATACAGTGAAATACACTGAATACAAATAGAAATACAGTGAATACAACCAATGAAATATATTGAATACAACAGTAATAACATGTATTAGGAATAACTAAAATATTGTTAATACAAATACATTTGAATACGTTGAATATAAAATAGTGAATACAGTAAATACAAACATTGAATCTAATGAATGCAACAATAAAAAAAACTATTGAAACACACTAAATACAAAAGTTATATACAACTGAAAAATCATTTTAATTAATTGGGTTGATAATGAGGCATGTTAGAATTGATTTTGTTGAGTTATATTAGGAGTGTATCACGTTAATTGATATTATTTCCATTATTAGACAGCTGGACATACCTATTTTTAAAGTGATTGCCTATTCATGAAAACATGGCGCGAATACATGTGAATACATGCGTGTACAGCTGGACTGCCCTGATTTTAGACGCTTTTTGTTGTTGTATTCATGAATACAGCAGCACGAATACATGCGCGTACAGCTGGACTGCCCTGATTTTAGACGTTTTTTTGTTGTTGTATTCATGAACACAACAGCACGAATACATGCGCGTACAGCTAGACTGCCCTGATTTTAGGCGCTTTTTGCTGCTATATTCATGAATACATGGCGCGAATACATGTGAATACATGCGCGTATAGCTGGACTGCCCTGATTTATAGGCGCTTTTTGCTGATGAATACAGCCGCACGAATACACTATCGTAACATATGAATAGTAGCTATAGGAAGTAATTATGTATATCGTAGCTATAGGAAGTTAATAGCCACTAAACAATAGTGGTTTCTGAAAATTCCTCTTAAAAAAAACTCAACTAGCCTGGATTGACCATTTTAGTGACTGGAAAACCGAAAGAAAGATCCTTTAAAAGGCAATGTACATGCACTGTTTATCATAAATTTGGAACAAATGAAGCAATTTCTGAACAAAGATCAACCACTTAGGTTGCCGGCAGGCCAGCCAAAAGTTGTGTTCGAAAAACTGTAATAATATAAACAACATAGAATGATAATTTGCTTTAGCGTTCTTATTGACAATAATGATCTTGACATATATCCATTATGCCAAGATGGTTGTAAATACACTCTGAAGGACAATGTCAGTGGATTATGTACCTCAAATTGGGATGGAAAGAACCTTTTTTAAATTGAAAAGATGTGAAAAATAATTACATTTTTAATGTGTCTCGTATTGACACCTCCGAATTTTATCCGCCATAGTTATCCTTGACCTTTGCAGAAGTTACTTACAAAATTGCAAAGGCTGCTTCATCATGTAAATTTCTATTATGGCATGTCAACTGTTTCATGATCTGGAGTCTTGTACGTGAAAGCTGATTCATCACTGGATCGCCTTTTCACCACACTCGCCCTTTGCATTAATCGGACCAGTGCTTGCACAACTTCAGACATTGGGGGTCGAAATTCAGGTTCAGGCTGTACAAGAAATAGTTGACCGGATGTCAAAAGGTTACTACCAAGGAGAAGAAGGTCACATTCAAATTATTGCAAGTAAAGTAATTCACTTCAGGTATATCAATGAACAAGTATTCATTATATTTTGGTTGGGTATGAGTTGGCTGATCTCGATCACGAAAAGCTTAACTAAAAGTAACTTTCGACCGTGGTGTGCAAGAACTTTGCCTTTGAAGTTCCCAAACTTTATTAACCGTTTGGGTGGTGTGCAAGAACTTTGCCTTTGAAGTTCCCAAACTTTATTAACCGTTTGGGCACTCCCGCCATACCAAGAGTCCAAGACTCACAGGCATTAAATGCAAGAAAGGTCATGTATTTGCTGAAGCGATTGGTCCTTGAGTATGTAAATTCCCTATGATTGACTTTCCCTTCCATCAAAGATATTTTGGGAGTCCTTTCATCTTTTAAGCTTCATACAGATAGATAAACAAATATGTATATTCTAAATGAAAGATTGTGCATGTAAAAGCTCACCTGAACACAAAGTGCAATAATATCAGCAAATCGGGACAAAGACTTTGCAGGATACATGCCATTTAGTGCAGGATCAACCATTTTTGATAAGGCATCTATATCATGGAGTTGAGGCGTAGCCCATCTCACAAGTGACTGTTCCGATCTCATTCTTGAACTAAATGATTTGTTAACAAAAAAATCAGGTCATTAATAGAATTCAACAGAATAAGTCAACTAGCAATGTCTGCATAATCAAGTTTACCTATCAAGTGGCTTCCTTCCTGTCAGCAACTCCAACATTACCACGCCGAAACTGTATACATCACTTTTTACAGTATATATTCCAGATAAAGCAAATTCCGGAGCGCTATAACCAAATGAACCAACCATCTGTGTGGATGAAACCTGTCAACATTAAGAGGAAATTACAACTTTAGGCAATAATACACTATTAGGCAATCAGTTAGCCTTTCGAAGCATGAGCTTCCTTCACAGGAACTTCTGCATTAGGAGATTCCTTTTCTTCCAAAAACCATTGACACAACTACAAGGATTTTCTAGACTGGGGAAAGGGGGTCTTCACTAAAGATTGGGCACATTGGCAATGCACGTGTTTAAGCACCTAACATTGCTCCAACAAAAACAAAATTAAGCTGTCACAATCAGAATCTCCAATTCATGACTAGTCTGTAAAGCTGTACCAAGAAACAGCTGCTTATCAATATCTGCTCTTACAAGAGTATTTCAACTGGTAAATTGATTGCCATCATGTCATAAACATTATATGTACCATGCCACATTATAAACAACCTTGTTGTGCCACACAAAACGACAATAATAATGTAGATTACAGACAATCTGCTTTACTAACTCACCGGGCGCTCTGTGTTTGGATTCAAAGCTGCTAACCCACAATCTGATAAATGAGGATTGAGCTCTTCGTCTAGTAAAATATTTGCGGATTTGAAATTTCTATGTACAACAGAAGGTAGACAAACTTCATGCAAGTACCTGAAAATACGAGGTTTAAATTTTAAGCCAACCCCACAAGCAAAGCGCTGAGACAGGTAAAATACTATACAACTACTACATACTCTAAAGCTCGAGCAGTGCCAAGTGCTACTCTAACCCGGGCATTCCAAGTAAGCAATGTGCTCCTCTCATCAGCAAAGTGCAGCATATCATGCAAGCTACCATTTGCGACATAGTCATAAACTAGAAGACGCTGACCATGCTCGGCACAGTATCCTATCAATGCAACTATGTTTTGGTGTCTCAGCCTTGACATATTTGAGACAGCTTCAAGAAAGTTGTCTTCCTCCTGCAGCGACAATGCTGCACTGTCAATCTTTTTGATGGCCATTATCTGGTATAGACAGTTGTTAGTTCATACGACCATTGACAGTTTCAGTTAGCACCTTCTATAGAAGCTACATGAATGCAAAATAAAAGTTTCCCTATCAATAATGTTATTGACATGTCAAATATCAAATCATTCATTTGAACAGTTGGCATCAAGTTGGGAGCAGAGAAATAGTCGACATAATTGGTTCATTAGAAAAGAAATAGCCAGCAGCATATCCTATAATAAACCAAAAAGTAGAAGATATAGTAAGTCAAACTCTAAAACTTCTAATAACGTTTTTGCTTAAGACTACATCATATAACCGAAGGACAAGGTTAGAACATCATAATTATTTCTGGCTGAGAAGAGAAGTGAGATGACCATCAAAGTGACCATATTATTACACCCATCAACACAAGAAGACAGACAAAAGCAAAGATGTGACCCCACAGAGGAGTGAACAATTGGCACGTGTTCATCACAACGTGAGCCAATTGTGGGCAATCAACTTTGTAAAAGATCTAAAAGGCAAGGTGAATCAAATAGTATCAAGGACATAATCTCAGTAAAGAGAATCACTAAACAGATTACCTACTAGCACGAAGACCTAATATGTTAACTCCCACGCAGCAGAGCATCAAGAAGTGTGCTAACTTCTACTTAGCTTTAGTAATACACAGATCAAATATTTACTCTTGTAAAGTTTGCCAGAAAAAGAATATTGTGAAAGAATCTAAGGATTCCACCCAAACCTTGAGGGAATGGATATGGTAGGCCAAGATACTCATATACTGCTTTGGATACCCCCTCATTTACCCGAGGCGGGAAATTATATAACACAACAATCTTCTTTTTTTTTTTTTTTTGAGTAAGGTAACATTTATATAACACAACAATCTCCCGCACGTGTAATGGCTCGATACCATGTCAAAGCATCTTAGCAACCACCCAAAACCTTATGGTGATGGGTGGAGTGGACAAGATCTTTATATACCTCTTTTGATGTTCTTGAGGATACGATGAACAATATACAACTCACAAGTATGCAAATTCTCGAAGCATCAAAATGAGGATGTCCTTGAGTGACAGATTAAATTTATTCAATGTTGTTCAGCTTTAAATAGTTTCAAATGCACATCCCACATAAGTACCAAAGGTAAGTGACATGGTATAACAATTGGAATGTAAACATCTCAAATTACCTTCCCGTTAGGAAACTCTGCCCTATAAACACGCCCGAGAGATCCTTCACCAATGAGATTTTCTTGACTGAAGCTGTTTGTTGATGTTTGCAGAGCAGCAACAGTATAAGAAGTTGCAGTTATCGGGGACTTCACTCTCCTTACAGATCCATTCTTCCCTTGTATCCTTTCAACTGTCACCTTCTCTGTAGGTGGGGGCTTCAAGTCAGCTACAGCAGCCGCAGGCTTTGCCCTTTGCTCTTGTACCTCCATATTCACTAAGATTAAGCAGAATATATGAGAAACGAACCAAGCTAGTGCCAATTTCCAAATGAAGATAGCACATCACAATACAATGGTTTATCATCTGAGGGTTAGCACCAATCACAATAATGAGTCAGGAGGAAAAAAGTTAATAGAACAAACCTTTATCTGTGTTAACTGGAAGACTTCCTGGAGAGGGTCTAGCAGCAATTTCCTTGCCCTTGCCCCTCCGGAAGCAAAATAGAAGTGCTAACAAAGCAAAAAGAACTGCTAGAGAAGATCCAATAACTATGCCAATGATAGCTCCAGTTGTCAATCCCTTCTTTTTATCGCCATTTTCAGGATTAGAACCTGGTCTTGTACGTGAACGAGGAGGAGAGCGGTTACGGTTGTTGCGAGATCTGCCAGGAGGAGGTGGAGTGTATGGTGGTGGAGGAGGAGCTGGACCGTTTGCAAAAGAATTTCCATCGTATCTGTCATGTTAAACGTTATGTCACATCCCTTGAAACTGTAACAGTCTAAACCATGTAAGAATATATAAGATGTGAAGCCACTTACACGAAGTTAGGGATAGATAGGAGTTCATTTGGGATCCATCCATTAAAATGATTCTTTGCAACATTTCTGCAGAAAGGTTTTGTTTTTCCCATAAAAATCTCTATTGACATTGAATCAAACTAGCTAGGCCCATTAATTTACGAATAAAGTGTTGAGACTTACAAATTATTCAAAGGTAAACCAACCAGGATATTGAGAGTACCACTGAGCTGATTGTTTTGCAGATGGCTGCCAGAAATTTCAATAGCATGTAAGTCAAACAAAGGAACAGTAAATCCTATGAGTAGAAAAATATTGTACTTACAGTGTGGAAAGATTTGTCAACAAACTGAATGAAGGAGGGAGATCTCCAGAAAAGTTATTCGAAGACAAATCCCTGCAGTAGCAGCAAATCAGTGAAAGAGTAAAACTAGTGAAACGAATGTTCTGAAGCCATGAGTAATCAACATAGACAGAAAGCTCAGCAGGGTACTGAGCGCTACCACAAACTACACTGTTTCCTTGAATTGGATTCTGAAAGATCCAATAAATGAGCAATTAAAGCTTCAAAGAGGAGCAGGACACCAATTCTATTACAATCAAAATGATTTTCACATAAAAAGTGTATGAAATAAAATAAAAGGTTTGGAGTTTGCAAATCATTGTCATTAAAATTAAGCAGATAGCGAATTTAAAAGACATCTATACATGATTAAATCCAATATTTAGCATGTATTATGTACGTCTCGAAGCACTCATGTCAGTCCATTGTAGGCAAATTAAAACAAATGAAGGGCCAGAAACTGCAGGTTGGAGTCACCATGTTATGATGAATTCAACCTAGTAACTGAACTTGAACTGGAATAGGAAAAGAAGAACTTCAACTGTGGCAATGTATGAACTCTTTTAGAAAGTAATTCAGAAAAAAAATAAAAATAAAGAAGGCAGAAGAAGTAAGAAGAAAAGAAAAGAAAGGAGGAATCAACCAGAAAACATCAATCAAGTAAAGATTAGTAGAATACTTACAAGGTTGCCAGGTCGGAGTGATTGGTGAACACATCTCCAATTGTTTGAGAGAGTGAATTACGGCTAAGATTCCTAAAAAATGAACTGCTGAGTTAGCTATTTTGAAAAATGTTGCCTAAAATGATCAACGAAAGAATAAAGCGAAGACCAAGCAAATGCTAATTTTGTTTTGGGATAGTACGTCGCAAGTCTGGCCACTCACAGATAATTAAGTGTAACCATGCCAGCAATAGAATAAGGAATGTTGCCACTTATATTGTTCTTTGCAAGATTCCTGCATTAACAATGATTATATTGTCTGTGAGTCAATCATAAACAGAAAAATTTCCAAACAAACCAAAAACTTTATAAGGAGCAAACATTACAGGCTGGTGAGATTGGGTGGAAGCTGATATGGAATAAAATCATGAATGTTGTTGCCGCTCATATCCCTAAAGACAACAGAGTGCAGAAGTTTAATTTTATTGCAATAGAAGGTGCTCTAAATTACCCTTTGCCACTAAAAGAAAAATTTCTTACAAGTTCTTTAACGAGGTAAGACCATTGAGCATGTATCCCAATGTTCCATTGAGTCCCAAATTGGAAATTTGACTGTCACAGAAAGAACCAAATGTTATATCAATCAAATCATAACTAAAACGTACAAAGACGTGCACTAGGTTAACGGTATACAAACTTACATTGAAACAACAGAAGTTCCGTGACAGCTGATTCCTTTCCACGACTCGTTACAGGGATCACCACCATTAGACTTCCAATTAGTGAGTTGCGAAGGACTATTCAATGAACTATACAAGACCTGAAGAGCTTGTACTGCAGATTACAAGAGTCAGCCAATGAACATAGCCAGAAAATCTCTCCAACAAGATTCAATATTTATGTAGTAAAGCCTCAATCTTAACTAGCATTGGCTCTGGAACTTGCTAAAAGAAGAAAAACACTCAGAATGGGGAAGAAACCATAGTACCAAATTAACAAATTCTGCATTCAAATCAAACAATTTAAACATTCAACCCAATAGCATGCGTTCTTAGATCACAATCTCAAAAGCTCACCAAGTTAAACAGATGATTCATAATATTTATAGTAGTAAAAGCATAAAGACTGAATATTTTCATAGTAAAGCCTCAATCTTTGACTTGCATTGACTCAGAAACCCAATAAAAAGGGGGAAAAAAGGAATCCCAGAAAATGAACAAGCAAATACATTACAATATCAACCAAATCAGGCATTCAAACATCAAACAATCAGAACAATCGTGCTCTAGAGATGGATCCAAGATTTTAAATCAGTGACGTGGAAAAGGGAAAAGGTGAGAAAACTCACAATCATTAGGATCAGTGTTTGCTTCAACAACAACAACAAGAGATGAGATGAAAAACACTGCCACGATCACCACCAGTAGCAAAGGGGGGGAAATGGTGTCTTGCTTACACGTATTTCTCTTCATTTTTCTACCTTGTTATTAGCTTAGTGTGTGACAAGAAATTAAAGGGGTTGTACAGAAACAAAGCTAAGAAGGAAAAGCATGGAGAAAGAGAGACATGGAAATAACATTGGCACTAGTGGTAGTAGGTGTCACCATCGTTAAAAGAGCTCTTCCTGATTCCAAGCTCTCCTCCTAGTCCTAGTAATGAAGAGAGAGAAATTTATATGTACGACTCCACTTATAGTGTGTATCTATAGCTGTCGGCGAAAATTTTAAAAAAATAATACTCGTAGTAGCTTTAAATTAAGAAATTACTTAATTAAATACTAATTCAGGTTTGTTAGAGCTTGTTTGGATTGTTGTTACTTGTATTTTATCGTATTATTACTTTAAATATAATATTTATTTTAATTTTTACTTAATTTTTTTTTGTATTGTATTGCTAAATTCGTTATTATGTAACGAATGCCACTTCTTGGAACGACTGATTTGGTGTGGCAGTATTGTTCCCTTATTTTTTTTCTCATTCTTGCCCTTTCATATTATCAAATAATCCTATTTTATCCTTGACCCTACCTTTTCGTATAATAATTCTACATCGTATCTTACTGTTTCTTTATAATATTCCAAGTTTATTTTTTATATTGTTGGTGTATAACATCATGAAACAAGGGAAAACAATGCAATATATCTAAATATTTTATGCATTAAAACGATACAGTACAATATAATACAATATTATATGATACATTATGAAATGATACGTAATAACCCTCAAACAAGATGTACCGGTATGGACCATTTAAACTCTTAACATTTTTAGAACAACAATTTAAAATCAATAATACTTTTGTACTAATTTATGATACTTTTGATATAATATCTTGATATGTAATTTCTTTTTTAAATTAAGAAATGAATGGTCGAATTCGCATAAAACTTTGGATGCATTCATTCTTATTATTTGAGATTTGCTATTTTTAGTATTTATTTTCTTCTTTGCGAGGTAATGGAGTAATTTTCTACAGTAGTAGTTTCTTATTTTATTTCTATCATGATTGGGAAAGATCTCTTTAAAAAATTGGGAGTGAAAAGTTTGGTATGAAGTAGGCAGTCAACCGGCAAGCAACATGAGATTACTTTAAAGGGAATTCGAATTAAAAAATTACTTTAAAGGGAAGACCTTTTCAGTGGACGAAAATGCCCCTCAGAATAAAGGCTTATTGCTTATGTACCATTTCATTAATGACTTCGGAACGGCAAATTGCCAAATATACCTATGTACTATAAGAGAATATTTAAATATGCTATTCGTTATACTTTGGATCTAAATATACCTCTATCGTAATACTATTGGTCCAAATATACTCATCTTTAGTTAAGTTTGTCAAAGATGGACATTCAATCCTATGTGGCATTGATGAGGTGGCATCCACCTCAACGCCTCTAATCTATGTATAAAAGATTAAAATTTGGAATACAATTTTTTTCATGGTAGCGGTAATGGTGGCAATAGTGGTGGAGAGGAAGGAAATTTTAGTGGTGAAAAAAAAAAGAAGGGAGGGGTAAAATGGGTTAGGGGCGCTGATGTGGCAAGCCAATCCACCTCATCAAATGTCAGTACCACGTAGGATTGGATGTACATTTTGGACAAACTTAATTGGAAAGGGGTATATTGGAACTAATAGTATAACCAGAGGCGTATGTAGTGTTATAGTACTGGGTTCATCTGAACCCAATATTTTCGATGCGGAGTATAAATTTAGCATAAAAACTCAATAAAATTGCAACACATAATATGTCTGAACCCATAACTTTAAAAATATAATATGTTTAGTATTAAAAAATTAAATATTGAACCCATAGAATCTAAATTCTAGATGCGCCTCCGAGTATAATGATAAAGATATATTTGGACTCAAAATATAACGAGTGATACATTTAAACCTTTTATGATAATACAAAGATATATATGACCCCATTTTGGATTTGGAATAATAAATAATGGGGTATGAACAGGCACTGGGCAGGGTATGCGGAATAAGACTAGACTTTCTTTCAGGAGGCTTTATTGAAACTTGAAAGGGACTAAATTGTAGGGATGTGAATTTGGAGGTGTAGCTTTTGTCATTACTGCGACTTTTTCCTAAATTTCCACATGTTTGACCTCCTTAATTGGAAAAGCAAATTCTGATCCATCAAATCAACCAAATAAACTCAAAAATAATTCATCCAAAAAGAACATGGGAATACACCTTTTGTAATAAAAGAATTTCTTTATCAATATTTCTGCTTCACTTAGTGGGCATTTTGACATAAAAATTGTTCGGAAAAAAGTGGAAAAAAATCAAGTAAAAATGGTATTTAAAAATTAGAGTTGTTTTTTTAACATAAATACAATTTGGAGTTGTTTTTGAATTTTTTGAGTGAATTGAAGTGAAAAAAATTCTGAAAATCAACTTTTTGGAGTTTTTAAAACTTCTAAATTCAACTTTAAATTAAGTTAAAAAATTTTATGGCCAAATAATGATTTTAAGAAAAAGTGAAAAAAATTCAAAAATCAAATGGGCCCTTAGTTATATGTTTTTCAAAACTTTGCTTATTAAAATTGTATAATCTATGATGGGAAACTCTTTGAAATCTAAGAAATAGAGTTGTTGAAGATTCTTTGAGTAGGTAGCTTGCTAGGAACCAAAATCTTACAAGTGTTCTTCAAGTATAAACAAGATTATAACTTTTGAACGGACGAATCGATATTTTGGGTAATCTTTTCGTGAAGAACCATTTATATATAGTGTTTGATAAGCAATATATAAGAGTATGATTTATGAATTCCCCTAATTCTATAGTCTAAACTAAATTAAATAACAACTACTATAATTTTGATACTAACAATACTATGACTTCATGAAAGTTACTTAAGTAATTTATGTATTAAATTTTATATAAAAAATTATATTTTAACTCATATTAGATTATATTAGAAAAGACATTAGTAGATATCACTTTGTTATTGACGTCCAAATATCATGATTCATCTGATTACTAGTCTATATTTATGATAGAATCACTCATCACTCACAATATTTTTTTGTGACCTGAATTTGAAATCGACTATGTGTTATATAAACCACTTCCCTAAAGAAATTAGAACATTAATTCTTTAACATATTCAGCTAAATTGATTAACATAGAAGGGAAGATTGGAATATTTTTTATGAGTTTGAAACGTTTCCTCTTGACTGTTGTTTGATGGAGTTTCTTCATATAGATACAAACCAACCCTCGTTTACATAAATTAAATAGGAAGAGACAGCAACTTTTTATTGACTTGAGATTAGAGGCAGCATCACAAATTAGATTCCATTCTAAGAGCATAAAGCAATGTCCATCTCGTGAGTCTTTTTAGATTCCATCTTTTAACAACTCTGCATTATCTTTTTGCTCACGAGATTAATAGACGTTCATATTCATGTTAAGTTTTTTGTACACGTTTCTCCTCCCAAAATAAAGTATAAGTATGCACTAACATTAATATAACAAAATATTTTGTGAAAATCAAATCAGTTATACGAAAATAACAAGTAAACTTTATAGTAAGCAACGAGTTGTGTTTTAAAATATTTTCCCATGTACGAGTTGAGTTTGGTCAAAGTAACGTTACGACTACTATATGTATTGGTCTAAATTTGAACGGCCTTGTATAGGGTCAAATTTGACCGTCAGCATCTCTACGCCAGTGGGTACGCCTAGTGAGTGTACGCCGACTAACGTAGCGGGTATGACTCGGACGTGGGGACAAAAGCGACATCGTTTAGGACTCAGTGTCTTCACTAGGGAGACGTTACCTATTTTTGTAACTTTTTGATTATTTCGAGGAAGGTCTCTTATTATATAAAGGAGACCTTCACATTGTAAAGAGGGGGATTCTGGAATAACACAACTCTCTCATTTTCTGACTTTCTCTCTCTATCTCTGCCTCAAACGAACATATTCTCTTGAGTTCATATTATCACTTTGCAATACTAGATCTACAACAATAACATCATCTTTACATCTCTAGGTCTATTATATTTGATTACGATTTAGCCTTTTCTTATTTTTGATTGTTTTCTAGCTTACAAAGTATATTGTTAACTTTTGAGCCAAACAGGCCTGATAACTACAAATAAACAAGGTTGAGGGAAGAGTCGACCACGGCACAACGGCGAGGAGTCGTCTCAAGGAGGATTACTGTCGAGGTCAAGAGAACGTGTAGCAAGAAAGTAATGGTATGATAGTTCAGAAATAGACATAAGGAATATTCCTTTTGATATTCCTTATGTTGTACTTTTTAGGGTTTCATAGGAACATCCTTATAAATAGGAAGAGATAGAGAACAAAAGGGGGATCTTCACTTCTTGATAAGAGCACTTTGAAAAGAGTTGACCTGAAAGAATATATAAATATTGTCTTGTTCACTGACTACTTGGCTCAACGTATGTTATTCATTCTTTGTTCACAAGATCCAAAGATTCCTTATCCATCTTCACTTACCTTTATCTCACGTTGTTGTCAGGAAGAAGAATCACCCAAACCGTCTAACATTTGGGTGATAAATTCCTCTTTATTATATTTATTGCCTTTGTCTACATTTATTACATGTTCTTATAATAATATTTATTGATAATCATTGAACACGTGCCTGATCTTTACTACTCTTAAACGTGATCTTACTCCACGGATCTGTCCAAGTTTTTGGTCTAGATCTTATTATATTTAACTGGGATTCACCCTCTATCAACCACGTAAAGTTCACCATCACACATAAACTAAAGCGATCAATCACCCACGAATGGTATGATGACCTCAGAGAAAGTATCATCTTTGATAAGTCAGATACCAACGGTTTGACTTTTCCCCACTTCGATGCTCTTATCATTACTTTACGTATTTCAGATACTGATGTAAAAAGAATAATGGTAGACGATGGAAGCGGCGCGTGTATTATTCACCCTCGAGTTCTCGCACAAATGCGACTCGAGGACAAAATAGTACCATGCTGCATAACACTAACAGGTTTTAACAATGCAGTCGAGCGAACCTTAGGAGAAATAACGCTGCCCGTTCTGGCCGGGGGTGTCACCCAAGAAACAACGTTCCATGTCATGAAACGGGACACAGCTTACAACGCCATCATAGCACGACCATGGATACACGCCATGAGGGCCATCCTGTCCAGCTTGTATC